GATTCTATTTGATTCTGTTTCTATTGTGGACACACACACACACACACACACACACACACACACACACGAAGCCATGTGCCCTAAGGAGTTAGTGGGGATCTTGTCTTGGTAAAAATGTGAGACTTGTTGAAGTTTTGCTTCTCTGTGATTTTCTAATTTTCTACAGTGCACCTCTGTCCCATTTTTGATGACAAACGAGAGAACTGCAGAGGTGCATCGTAGAGATTTATTGTCTGCGGTTGTGTGTATTCTCCTACCTACCTTCCCCATGAGAATAGGATGTTTTCCTCAACTTCATTTTAGACAGGAAGAAATGCAGTCTCAGAGAATTTAAGTCATTTGCTTGAGGTCACCCACCGAAAGGGCAAGGCAGGGTGGGAGCTGCCCTGGGGCTTCTGAGTAGACATTGCACAGGCTCCCTGGAAGGGCTGCGTCAGGTGGATCAGAAAAGGGAAGAGGAGACTTGGGAGTGACAGCATTTAGACAAGCAATTGTGCAATTTTAAATAGAAAAGACCCAAGGGTGAGGTGTAGCTTTACATGCAGCACTTTCAGGAATGTGTGTGTTTTGCGGTGCTGCCCAGAATCCTCTATTTCGTAGCTCAAGATACAGTCTTGGCAGGAAACTGGAGGGGACCATTTGCGTTAGAAATTTCATCTCTGACTTCTGAGTTTGTGCCTTGGGGTGAATTAGAGGTCTTCTCACCTCCTCCTTGTCTCTCGCGGGAGATGCCACAAGGATTCATGAGCCCTGTGTTTGGACTGCTCTGAGGAAGCTCCTTGAGTGTCCTCATGCATTACCACCAGATTAGTATTCACTGTGATTATTCATCCGTTTGCTCCTCCTGTTTCTCAGGGTCAATTGCAGTACCTCCCAGACCTACCAAAGGAAAAAGCCTTCCTTTGCCACTCTCCTTGGAGTGAAAGAGGAAAAGTGTTGAGGATGGGAAGGGAGCTGGTTCTTCCTGCTCCTTTCCTGGGAAAAATCTTGCAACCGAGGATTGACCATGTGGCCACCCTGGTCGCACCACCTGCCCTGGCTCGCTTGAGCCTTGCTTCTGTGCAGTGAAGCATGTTCCTTCTCACCACCAGCCTCAGGAGCATGCAGCCATGCTCACAGGTTCCAGGTTTGCTGCCCTGAAACTCAGAATTTATCTTGGAACTTAGACTCTGTAGGTGGAGTCTAACAGGATAGCAAAATATGTGCCAATAGCTTGGAGCCTCTCCTCATGCCCTATTCCATTTCTTGCCACCTTCCTGTCTCTCCTGGACATGTTCTCATAGCTTTTGGATTCTTAATCTGTCTCAGTTCTGTGCCAGGCAAGTGCTGCAGCACTGAGCAACATCCAACCTTGGGGTCACAGCCATGCTCCCCCTCTGATCCCCAGGGTCTGGGGATTCACCCAGCTTCCTTCTCTCTGCCCCACCTGTGACCACTGCTTCCCTCTCTTCCCAGCAGGGGGCTGGGTGCAGGGACAGGAAGGTGCACATGGGCCTTGCAGAGGCCAAGCAGGGCAGAGGAGCAGCTGCCCCATCCTGGGCTGGCGGAGCTGTAATGTGGAAGACAGAGACCATATCTGGAGGAAGTGAACCTCTTGTTCCCTCTGGCCTTAGCATGACCCAGGGAAGAGGTGGTAGCGCTCTTGGAGTACATTTTGCTACCTAAAGGGTTGTCTCCAGTGGAGCACTACACTGCAGCTGTGGGAAGAAGAAAGCCTGACTGCTTTCGGGGCCCACGCCTGCCTGGGGCATAGCCCATCACCCTGGCACTGGAAGGAGTGCCCAGCTGCTGGTGTGCTGTGTGTGCACCCCAAGTCCTAAGATGTGGATCTCCTGGCCTGCTGGGAGGGTCTGCACCTACCCCGTGGCATCCCTATGTCAGAAGACATAGGGAATGAAATAAAACCCATCCAGCCACTTATTCATTGTGACAAAGGTACCAGAATAATGTAAGGTATTAACATGAATGAAACCAGGCTGTGGGGTCTATGTTGTCCTTGAAACTTCTCTGTTGTCCAAAAGTATTTTAAAATAAGAAGTTTAGGAAATCATATCATGGAGAAGAGAGGGAAAAAAATCTCCAAACTCTAGAAACTTAGAAATGTCCCTGCAGCTGATTCTGGCTACAGAACCGCCCCTGCTGCAGGTGCAGCTCTGCTGCTGCCCTTCCAGCTGGACTTCCCCCTCATCTCTGTCAGGCCTTTGAACTTCTTGATTGCCATGAATGATTACTCCTGAGCATCGACCATCTAACTGGCCACTAAGCGCTTGATGGACTTTACCCCTCTCATGACTTCCTGGGGCAAACGTTCTTATCTTTAATTTACAGAGGCAAGAGACTGAGGTCCAGGATCACGTAGTACATGCGAGAAAGGAAAGTTGGTCTTTCTGGCTTCACTCCAGAGCTGGTGCATGCGGACTGTTCTGCCAGGGCCTCCCAGGCAGCTACGCTGGCCGCCATCCCTCCAAGTATTGCCTGGGTGTCTGCTGGGCGCCAGCAGTGGAAGTCAAGCCTCTGCTGAGCTGCCCTGGTGCTCTCCTTTGGTAGTAAGGATGAGCAGCTGGTGATGGGACCCCTGCTGCATATCTCATTCATATCTGTGCCCCCTGCTTTAGTGACCACGCTTAGTGGGACACAAGGGAAATCTTGACTGTAGATTGAGAATTTGGGAAGTGACAAGGCTAACATAACTTCAAAATGGAGTCACATTTGTTTTAAAAATATTGTGGTTGGCCTGAGCAACAGCAGGTGATGGATGGAGAGCCTTTGGTTCCACCGGCCAGGAACCCACATCTCCTACTGGACCCATGCCAGGAGGAAAGCAGTCACATAGAAAATGGGTGTGGTGGCCATAGCCCATTGTTACATCTTTGAGGGGTCCCCTTTTTAAAATTTCTGTGCTTCTGCTTGTATAATTATTGTATTTCCTATGTGAAGCTGGAGTGGAAATAAGATGTCTTTCTTCCTCTTCTTAAGAAGAAGTGTACTATGTCACCCTGTAGTCCCTAGCATCTCTGCTGATTCCTGGGGCTCAGAGCAAACTGTTTACTCTTCGCTGTCCAGGGGAATGTCTGACCCCAGCTGCAGGTCCTAACGTGGAGGCACTGGGGTGGTAAAGCCTGGTGTCTAGGGAGTGGCTGGACTTTTCTTTACAGGCAGGGAATAAGGATGGAAGGGCTCTGTCCAGGAAAAGCTTCCATGGAAGAAGTGCCCTTCTGGAGAGAAACTGAGGGGCAGGGCACATTTCAGACACACTAGGGAATGAGGGGAACCTCTGTCTTAGGCAGAACTCCATGAGTGAAGAGGAAGAATGGAGGGAGGTGTGCCAGTCTGGCTTGAAGTGAGATTTATTAAAAACACACCAATTATTGTCTAAACATTTTTGAAGAGTGTCAAAAAAATGGAGGATGGGCTGGGGATTTAGCCCAGTGGTTCCGTTGCCTGCCTCGCAAGCGCAAGGACCCGAGTTCAATCCCCGGAACCAAAAAAAAAAAACAAAATGGAGGAAGTTACCTCCAGCGGTTTTGTGGGTTTTCAAGTATGACATACAAGATATTGAGTGTTAACCCCCGTCTATCTGAAAGTGTCCCACATATGGAGGTCACACAGAGCAGTGATTCTTTGAAATAGGGGTTCACTCATGGGAATCATGTTTCTCTCTGAGAACCACACACATAAACTTATTCATATAATAATAAAAAGTTATATAGTCCTACTAGGATTTTTGCATAACTGCAAAAAAAATGTGTTCTAAATCAGGTAGGAATGTTATATTAGAGCTCTGTAGGAGATTTTTTATTTTTTACTTTTTATTAGTGAGTATTGTATGCTTACATTCCAGAAAGCTTGGTAGAATTCATGGGTGTTATTCCCCTCCAAAACAGCCAAGTATGTGTGAGAGTCGGGCTGCTTTTTATAACTGTCTGTAGCTTCATTAATTCATCTAGCATTATAAAATTAATTCAGTGTTTATGAACATAGGTTTGTTAAGTCAATACCCTGAAGTAGTTTAGACCCACAGATTTTTGAATATGAAATGCCATGTTGTGGATAAGTTAAAAAAGAGTCTGAATTGTCCAGGGAAAATAAGTCTTGAAAATAATATTTTTTGTAAAGAGTCCTTAGAATATGTTCAGAAAAGCATAGCTTCTTGTGGGCCTTGTCAGAGGCCCCAGCTTTAACCACACAAAAGTCTTCAGAGTTCACACGTGGCTCCACCTGAAAGTCTGGTTCAGAATTTCCCTGTGATCCTGGCCCTCCCCGAAGGGAAGTTTTCCCTTTGTTTAGGATAACCAGCGCCACAAGACTCCTGGGCCAGTAAACGTGTTCACTAAAGCCTCAGACAGTTTCTCTTAGACTGAAGTCTTATCAGGGAGACCTGAGTCGCCTCTAATTAAAGAGAGAGTCCGAGGAGAGGAAAAAACAGCCTACATTTCCTACTGTGCAGGTCCGGGTTTGCTGAATCCGAAGTTATTCCAACAGGAACACGTCCCAGGAATGAATGAACGCCTAGTGTTTAACATAATAATCAGACAGTTTCTCCGATTCTCACCGCCTGCTTCCTTTAGGAGAAAAGCCAGTGAGGAAAGGCTGTGCTCATTTCTCCTCTGAGTGCAAACGCTCAGAAATGACATCACACACCCTAATGAGCCCCAGGATGACTAAGGCAGAGAGATCTTGAGAAAACGCTGCTGCTTCTCAGTCTTAGGGCACATTTATGCAGATGAGCATACAACAGCCGGGTCCGCCTTCTTCCTCAGAGGAAGTTGCTCGGTAGCTCACTGACACCTCATCCAGCTAGGGGTGTAGACTTGGCCCGAGCGCCCTCTGGGCAGGCAGAGCACCACGGTGATTTGAAAGGAAAGAGTCGCAGCAAATAATGAAGGAGCAAGGGGGCACCTTCAGCAGCACTGGGCTCGGTGGCAGTGGCAGGGTGGACTCTGCCATGGACAGCCTGCAGCCGCTGCAGCCTGACTACATGCCTGTGTGTTTGTTTGCAGAAGAACCGTATCAAAAGTTAGCAATGGAGACTCTGGAAGAGCTGGACTGGTGTTTAGACCAGCTAGAGACCATCCAAACCTACCGCTCCGTCAGTGAGATGGCTTCCAACAAGGTAAGCGCCGCCGCCCGCCGCACAGCACGCGGAGGACGCCCGCGTCCCTCTGCAGAGGTGCGCACTGCTGCGGGGAGGGCAGGTCTGTGGGCCGACTCACAGGATCAGGATCGCTCCCCACTGCCGCACTGGCTTGTGTCTCGGTGCTGCTGCAGCAGTTTAAAATCCTCCCTCAGCTTTAATTCCCAGAAATCAAACTTATCTTAGCTGATACTCTTCGGATATATTGAAGCTGAAAGATTTCTATGAAGCTTCCAAGGCACTGCACAAGTGAAAATGCTGGGTTGTTTTTCTTTCTTCTTTTTACAGTTATCAGAAAACTAAGATCCGGATGGGGTAAAATGTGCAACATGTCACATTGCAATGAGATGTTACATCTATATCTTAAACAAGGAAATATGACCTGCTTATATCAATGAGAAAAAAATGGTTTGCCTTCGAGTTTGATAAATTCCTTCTGAGAATAAGGACATTTTGAGATTTTCTACCGTTTCTTTTGTGCTGCTGGCATGACCTAAGATAAAAAAGAAACAATATACTTTCCAGAGACAGAAAGTTATTTTTTCTGAAGTTTGCTGATTTTCAAAGTGAAATCGTATGAAATCAAATTCCACCCATACTGCAATTAAAAAAAGGTTTTATTTGCAATATCTAGACAAAACTTATTCGTGCAAAGCTTTAATTATCTAGCATTATATCATTTGTTTAATTAACACCTAGACTTGGTGTTCTAATTTATGCAAGTTACATAGTGAGAGTTGTTGGCTGTTATTGTTGTTTTTTGTTTGTCTTTTTTCTTCAGAGAAAGTAACTACATATATCGTATACATAGTAAGAGTTATGGAGTTTCATAAATATATATGTTGTATCATGCTTTGATGAAAGGCCTTGACCCTATCCAGTGGCGATGAACCTACAGCATGTGTCTTATTTGTTTTTCTTTTAAGACAAAAGATGAGTTGTTGTATGAGTTGTTTTTCTAAACTAAAACCTCAGCGTTCAGGTTTAATTGCAGTGTTGGTGCTTTGTGATAAATAAGTGGGTTTGGGTTGCAGTTTGGGTGCTCGTGTCTGAAGGGTTCGCCCTCGCTGCCCTCTGAGGGCACATTTCAGCTGCCCAGTCATTCTAGCCAGAGGCACTGTGTGATTGTCTTATATTCCGGAGGCTGGGGAAGGATTCCACGAACACCTGCCAGGAAGCCTTTCCCAGGCCCGAGGGCCCCAGGGAACCCCTCCTCCTCTTCTGGGGTTCAAAAGTGTCAGCTTTGGATCCAGGCTCTCTGGTCGCCCTTCAAAGGATCCGAACACGGGAAGAAGTAGAGCATCCTGAGAAGATTCTGATGTGGTGTTGGTAGGGGGAATCTTCTCACTCCTGTGCTCTTTGATTATTGATTGATGAAAGGGGAAAAATAAGGCCCTTACTGAAATTTTTGTTCAGAGTTCAAGTTAGTGGGGTAGAACTGTGAACAGGACACATTGAGGTTTAAATATCATTTACTGATTTCTCTGAAACTCTCAGTTGAGAGCTAAATTCTGGGACTTTCCAGGCTGGTGTAAAACTCAACTAGCTGCTTCCCCATGAGGGGCCTGGCCTGCGAAACTTCTCCAAATCACACTAGAACTCCGTGGAGAAGGACTCTCACACATACTCAGCCTACTCGGGAGCATTAGCAAGTCCCTGGGCTCTAGGTTCTGATCACTGATACCTAGGCAACTTGTAAATCTGATGTTTGGGAGTAATTTTTCAGCACATTTTACCACTGCAGACATGGTAAGGTGCGGGAGTCACCAAGCTAAAGCAGGCAGTCACCTGCAGGAGGAGAAAAAGAATATTCCCAGGGAAAATACAAGTTACAACTACTTTTTCATTTTGAGTGTTGAGGTGCCGAGGTGCTCTGCCCACATTTGCGTCTGGGACGCTGACATTGGAAGTGGCCTGTCTTGCAAACTTATTTGAAATCATTTCCTACTCAGCATAGTAGCGGATAAGGCTCTGACACCCTGACACCCGGCACTGTGTAGGTCCTGGTGAGAACTCCCACCCTCAGGCTTCTGCTGGCCCTTGATGATGTCGCATTCAGGAAGCAATGAAAGCGGAATAGATCTCAGCCTCAAGAAAGGGGAGCCTCTGGTGCTGGCAGATAGCTTCAGTAGGAAGTTGTGGCCCCGCCTACCTCTAAGAGCTTCAGCCGAAGGGTTGTGGGGCAAAGCAATTACCCAGGGGAAGGACACCCACCTGACAGCTGAAGTCAATTTTGATTAGAAAGAAAGGCTCTCTTTTCACTTTGCTCTCTGCTTTTCATCTTCACTATTCAGACAGTTGTTTGGCGTAGAGCTTAAGCTTAATGTAAACCGTGGCTAGTATGATATAATGCAATAGAGGATGTTTTTGTTGTTACCAAAAAGAAGTTTGATCTATACTAGTTTTGGGGCTAACTGCACTACCTTTGATAAGAATAACCCACATGCCCTTTTAAATGTTGTCTAAATAATTTGAGGTTCCCATCCATGTTGCCGTTTAAAAAATCGCCCTCATTGTCACTGCTGTTACTCTGTAGTCATACTCAGTCTTATTCTGCTTATCCTCACTGAACGAAGGAACAACACCAAGTATGAGCTACAGAGCCGGAGATGAGCGTGAAGATGTTTTATAGAGGGAGAATAGGAAGGGTATGGCTGTGGAGTTAGAAAGTCGTGACCCAAGTAGGTCTGTACCCTCGACTGGCTACTGGACTGGGCCAGAGTACTCACCCCGCCCTAAGCCTCAGTCTCCTTACCCAGAAAAGAGGGGTAAAAGCAGTGCCTACCTGGTCAGGTGCTGTGTGATGGAAACAGTGCACTTACAACATTAGCAAGGCACCTCATGGATAGTGTACATCCAGGAGACCATCACTTATCAACAGCATCTGCAAGTTTCACAAAGAAAAAGTCCATGTCCCGACTTCTGTATCGACTGAGTGACCACTGAGCTTTGTTTCCACCATCTGACCTAAGAGTGTGCAAGGCAGGAGCCAGTGTCACACACAGGTACGTGCAGGTGACCTGTGCCAGTCCACAGGCACACGGTGGGGAGCTGAGTCTGGGGAGGAAAAACAAGTGGTGTTTCCTGCTCATTTCATCAGGTGGGGCTGTGCTTTGGCTTAATTTTTTATTTATTGGATTGTTTCCCTTAACTCTTCTATAGTCTCAGGGAGAGCGAGTGGCTCAAAGATTGTTTGCTTTTTGAGACAGGGTCTCACTATTGTAGTTCAGATTGGCCTTGAACTCACTATGGAGCCCAGGCTGGCCTGAAACTCTCAGCGATCCTCCTGCCTCAGCCTCCTGAGTGCTGGGATCACAGGTGTGCACCACCACACCTGGACTCAAAGATTGTAATTAACTTTCCCAAGTGTTCTTCAGGGCCCAGGGAGTTGAAGGACTGTTTCTGTGACTTATAAAAGCATAGTCCTCTCCATTGGCCGAAGTCTTCTTGAGCCCTCAATGCCGGCCCCAGGCCATACAGAATCGTAAAATGTGAGAAAAAGTGGCACTCAGGTGGGTTTTTGTCCCAGATCATTTTCTCCAAAGTGTGACAGGAAGAGGAGCGAGGTTGGGCAGAGTTTTAGGAGGCAATGGCACTGTTTTGCACGATGAGAGGGATGTCTGTGCGCCTTGTGCCAGCGGCCAACTTCAGTGAGACGTGCCAGAGCAGTTCTGCTCAGCGGCAGAGCACCGCGGCCTTCAAGTGGCTTGCTGATCTCGGTGTTTCAACTTTCATCACCTCCTGAAGTAGAAGAATTGAAAAGGCGCCGGAGCATGAGCTGCTCCATGGCAAAACAGTCCGATGTTTTGAAAACAGGATGCTTTGGCTCTGCAGTATAAAAAAAGAGGAACGGAAAGAGAAACGGTATAGAAAGGAAGACAGCAAACAGCCTCAGCGGGATCCCCCGGCCAGGGCGCATAAACAGTGATCTGTCCCTCTGACCTCCACTGTGGCTCAGTTCCTGACCTGGTGTCGCAGAGCCGGTGGACGTCCCTGGAGGAGGAGAGGAGGAATGGCACAGCTGCCTAGAGGGACGAGGGTGTCCTGTCCCCTTCCTGACAGCGGCAGTCGGAAAGTACAGGGTTGCAGCAGCTCCAGCTGAGAAGAGCCGGCCGGGACAGTGGCAGGGAGGCGTAGCTGGGACTGACAGTCGGGAGTGGGGGTTGTGGCTGGTGCAGGAGCCTAGCTCCCTCCGAGGACTTCGAGTGGAAAAAACGTCGAAGGCTTGCCAGACAGAGAACACGGTGTGGCAGTCCATAAGACGCTGGGTTCGGTAACTTGTCCCTGCCCTAAGGTCCCTTGAAATGCCTTCCTCTGAACTTTTCTCTCTCCACCCCTGTGCCCTGGGACAACTCTATGTTCAGGGTGAAGATCTGAGCCTTCTCAGTGACAGTGGATGTGCTGTCCTTACCATTTTCTTCACAGTGCAGCACCAGGTCTGCGCCCTTCTGTAAACGTTTGCTGAGGAACCCTACGGGACAGGGCGGCAGGCGGGCCTTTCCAAAGGGCTGGTGAAATCAGCCCTGGGCACCATCCCCGGGGAAGTCAGTGCTCCTGGCTTCACAGGTTTCCTTTTCCAGTTTTTCGGGAGCAGCTGTGTCAGAGCCCTGCACACTGAGCACAGAGGTAGCCACTTGCCTGGGCTCTTGGATGGGACAAAGAGAGTCCCAAGTTCCATCAACCCAGACTGGAGCCACTCGGAAACCAGGCTCCTGGACACAGGACAGCAGTCTCGAAGGGCTGCGTGTCCCAGTGTGGGGAGAGCTGTGCTCTGTATAACAGAACAATCAAAAACTATGGGGTAGGTTGGGACCAGTGGATCCTAAAGGAGACAGATCTTATGGCCAACAGATTCATGTCACCATCCTACCAGTCGATGGTAGGCAGGTGCCCAATAGTTGAAAGGGATTAATGCCACATTGGCCCAAATCTCAGTGATATTTATTAGAGCACTGCCCCCCTACACCCTTAGCACAAGA